TCTTTCTTTCTTTCTTTCTTTCTTTCTTTCTTTCTTTCTTTCATTGCAGATTGTGCTCCCTCCATGTTTCTCTCCATTCAGACAGTTACCATCTTAGTTCAGGCCCTCATCATCTCTCTCCTAGATTACTGCAGTTGCCTCCTAATGGATCTCCCTGCCTCCAATCTCTCTTGCCACTGCAGTCCGTCCTACACACTGTTGCCAAAGTAATGTTACTTAAGTGAGGATCCAGTCATCTGCTCCGGTATCTAATAAACTCCAGTGACTTCCTGTTGCCTCTAGGGTAAAGTCCTACCTTTCAAGTTTCCTTGGACATTACTCCCCCTCCCACACTCTGCCAAACCATCAAAATGGTTTTCTCTCTGTTCTTCAATCATGATGCTATATCTCCCATCTCTGTGCCTTTGCATTGGCTGTGCTACCTGCCTGGAATGTCCTCCACCTCACATAATCTCTAACTTCTTTAAGAGGTGGCTCAAGCCTTTCCTGATTCCCCTTCATATACACACACATATGTATGTATGTGTATATATATCTATATCTGTGTGTGTATATATTACATATGCATATGTATGTATAGGTATACACCCATATATTTGCATTTCTTCATTTTCTATTTGTGCTGCATATATTTTGAATGTATTTGTTGTATCCTTCATTAGACTGTAAACTCTTTGAGAAGGGGGATCATTTCCTTCTTTGCAGTCCCAGCTCTCAGCACAATGCCCGGCACATAGTAGGCACTTAATAAATCCTTGTTGCTTGACTGATGGATGGTATCCAAGAGTTGCTGTGGCTTAAAAATGCCTCACCTCACAGCCCACTTGGTGATGAATCTCTCCAAAGTTAGCCGGGCTGGCCAGTCATCTGGTGACAGATATACTGGTCATCACCAGGCCTGCACTGGTAAATTTCCCAGTTTAGCAGATGCCTTTCCATGGCACTGGAAAGCATAGACAATGTTTTCCTCCTACCAGCTCCATGAAGCAGGTAGGACAAGGATTATTATCCCCCTTTTACAGATGAGGAAACTGAGGCTCACAGAAGGGGAATTGACTAGCCTATGATCACATAGCTAGAAAGCATTTGAGGACGGGCTATGAAGCCAGGTCACCAGGTCACTCCTTTACAAAAGAACAGCTCCCCAAAATGAATGATTAAAATCCCCAACCCTCTCCTGTAAATCAGATCCCTTGATATGCTAGAGTCAGAGTTGGGAGCCCCACCTGAACTCCTGGCAGGTCCAGGCAGCTAGCCTATTTTTGCAGAAGGATGAATGTGTCAGATCTAGGGACTCAGAAATTTCCAGCAAGCCCCAGCTGGAAAGCCTTAGGAGATTGCTGGGCCAAGGGATACCAAACCCCTGACACACTGAACTGGAGTCAGGGGACTGACTGATGAAACTGATTCCAGGAAATAAGGCTTAGGAGACTTAAGTCATCCCCAAGTCCCCGGCAAAGCAGTGGATCCTGCCAGCATTCCCTGGCTGCTCCTGAGTCACCTCACAGGCTTCCTTCCACTCAGGAAACTGAGAAATATGGGTATAAACTTCTTGCATTGGCTAGGGTTGAGAGACACCAGGGAGAGAGCACAGGAGGGAAAGGCAGAAGACCTGAGTCCGAATCCCAGCTCGGCCACTTACTAGCTGTGTGACCTTGGGAACTGTCCTAGTTTCACTTTTCTCTTTTGTAAAATGATAATAGAGTTGAACCTCTAAGGTTTGGAACCAGCCCTAACATTCTATAATCCTAGCACATTCAGCTAGGAGTGATCACTTACCTACACAGGGCAGCTATAGTGGTGCCATAGTGCATGGAGTGTCAAGTATGGGGTCCAAAGCACTCATCTTTCTGAGTTCAAATCTAACCTAGCTGTGTGACTCTGGGCAAGTCATGTAATCCTGTTTGCCTCAGTTTCCTCATCTATAAAATGAGCTGGAGAAAGAAATGGCAAACCGCTCCAGTATCTTTGCCAAGAAAACCCCCAATGGAGTCACAAAGAGTCGGACATGACTGAAAAACAACATAAAACCCCAGAATCAGAGAATTAGAAATGATCTTGGCAGCCATCTTATCCAACTCACATATGAAAGGTAGCTTGGCTGTCACATCCCCAACAAGGGGTCAATCCAACCTCTGCTTGGAGACATCCAAGCAGGGAGATCCCACTGCCTCCCTAGACAGCCCATCCCCCATTGGACAGCTCTCACGGTCCGGAATTGATGCTGACTTTGAGCTTAAATGCATCTCTTGGCCACTTTTCCCCATTGCTCCTGGTTCTGTCCACTCCGGCCAAAGAGAACAAATCTGATCCCTCCACCCACGAGAACCCTTCAAATACTTTAACAGCCTTTTCCTCATCTCATGCTTTGATCCTCCCTAGCTCACAATAGTTAGGGCTATCTGGGGGTGGGGAGGGGTCTGCTTTAAGTATTGTGCCTTATACTTTTAGCTCTCGCCCTGCATCTGACATCCGACATACTTGTTGTGTTAACAATGCCCAGGTTCTCACCACCCATGAATCCTTCTTTTTAGGTGATTCCACCACAGGGCAGCCGTTTTTTCAGACTCACTAAATTCCTGGGCTTCCTCCAGAAGAAGAGGTTCTAGCTAATCCCTTGTCCTGTAACTTCCTCTATCACCCCACTGAGGTGAGGGAGGCTGGCTGTGGCAATTTGGAAATCTAGCAATATGGTGGCGAGAACGCGGTGAATTCGCGAGTCAAGAGACCTAGGTTTCAGCCCGAGCTCCGTCCCTAACTTGTGGTGAGACCTCGGGAAAGTCTCTTCCTCTCTCTCAGCTTGACTTTCCCTCTTTGAAAAGGGAGCTGGGCTGGGTTGCATCATCTCGAAGGTCCCTTCTTGTTCTAAAAATAAAAGTCTATGACTCCCAGCTCTCAACTCCAAACTGTCTCCACCCAAAATTCTAACCAAAATCTAACAGGAGCTGAAGGCTTCAGGGGAAGGTTTTGGAGGCTCTGTCTAAAGAAAATGGGCTGGGAAGCCCAGTTCCACTGCTCAGTCTGTGATGGGGAGAAACTGAAGAGATAAACAATGCCTCTCATTATACAGATGAGGGAACTGAGGCAAAGAAAGGGGAAGGGATGTGCCCAATGTCACATAATTTGTCACGTGGCAAAGGGTGGCTGGTGTCTAGATCTCTCTCTCCTCTTCTCTTCTGGCTGGGGGACAACAGTGATCACCTAATCTAACCCCCTCAATTTTAGAGAGGAGAAGGCTGAGGCTCAGAGAAATTGAATGTTTTATCTGAGGTCACACTGGTTATAAGGAGTGGATTTGAACCCAGGACCTCGGGCTTGAAATTGAACACCTACTATAACACAAATGGGCAGTATCAATACCTCTTGGCTTTGACCTTTGGGGACTCTGGATCAAAGGCAGTCACTCAATAAACATTTATTAAGCACCTACTGTATACCAAGCTCAGAACTCTTCTTCTTCAATCCCGAGCCCTCCCTCAGCCTCTTCCCTTATACTGCTCCCCTGAAGTTTTAAGAATGCCCCCCATATTCCACCGACTTTCCCCTTTTATACTGCTGATGCTGGAAAGGAAACTGGGAGTCCCCAGGGATACTGCTTGGACCCCAGAGTCCCCACACCACCCAACCAGCCCTTGAGGATCCAGATGTTCCAGCTGTGTGGGCAGAGGCCCTGAGACCCTTACCTCTAGGTCTCCCTTAGTGATGGACTCCTCTTCAACCCGGAATTGGAGGTCTTCCACTTTCCTGTGGATAAAGGGGTGAAAGGAGAAAAGCCATCTCATTACTCTGACCACCGTGGCATGATCACGCCAGACTTGAGAGGACCATGGCTAGGAGACCAGGCACCCTTGCCCCCACACCACAGTCTTATGGCTTTGATCATTTCAATTCATTTCAACATTTATTAAGCACCTGCTGTTTGTGTAAGGAGCTGTGCTAGGTGCTGAAAATACAAAAAGAGATGGGAACCAAGTCCTGTCTTCGGGCACCTGCTGGGCTCCTGGTGCCTCAGGGCAGCCGGACAGAACTTGGGTCACTCATAAGAATGGGGTCCACCCTGACCTCCAGGATCTTCATAACAAAAGGGCAAACAACAGTAATATAAATCCAGGGTCTATTTTTATAGAGGGGGCCTTCCCGAAGCACAAAAGTGGCTCTTCTTTTCATGTTAGCATCTGCCACAAGTGGCCAGGTCAGGCCAGGCCCGGGAGACACCGGGAGCCAGACACTGAGCTTCCCGTCCTCTCTCTCCACCAAGGCAGAACCTCCTCCCTGGACCCTCCTCTTCCTCTTCCACGTGGGCTCTTTGGGAGTCCTTCAAATTTGGCTAAAATGGAACGGGTTGGCCGTAAGGGCTGTGGTGGCCACCTGCTGCCACGGCTCCCTTGGCCCTGGGGCCCTGACCGCCAGCTGAGATAGAGGACGCTGTCCCAGGGAAAAGAGCCAAGGACCGAGTCGCTGTCGGACTTCCTTGGGAGGTCGGAGGACCGAGAGGCTGCTGAGGTCCTTCCCAACTCTGGAACCCCAGAAATCACACCTGGAAGAGACCGCCGGGCCATGGAGAGAGCCCTCCGTGGAGCGGTTAGGCCTGTCACTGTCCAGACAGCCGGGCTTGGAGTCAGGAGGGCTAACAAGGTACAGTGGACCAAGACCCAGCTCTTGAGTCATAGGACCCGGATTCGAATCCCACTTCTGATGCTTGCTACCTGCTCAACTCTGGGCAAATCACTTCCTGTCCTTGGGCCTCAGTTTCCTAATCTGCAAAACCAGGAGAGTTGGCCTGGATGGCCTCCAAGGTCATCTCCATCTAACATATTATCCTATTTCAATCCAACTTCAGATGCTTTCTAGCTGGGTGGTCTTAGGCTAGTCACTTAACCGCTCTCAGCCTCAGTTTTCTCATCTGTAAAATAGGGGTAACATATAAAGTGCTTTGTGAAACTCAGAGTACTGTAGAAATGTTAGCTACTATTTGTCATTATTACTTATTTATCATTATTTATAATTTATTTATCATTTAGTTGTCATCATTATTTATTTATTTATTAAAGATGAGTAAACTGAGGCCCAGAGAAGGCTCACAGACTGAGAGTTAGGAGGGATTGCAGAGCTCACCTATTCCATCCTCCTCCATTGCACAGGTGAGGAATGTCACACACAGAATAGAAGACAGGGGCAGGAAGGGCCAAATCTTTCCATTACTCTGCACCATCCATTCCCCAAACTGAATGCAGCTTGGTACAGTGAAAAGAGCCCTGGATTTGAAGTCAGGGGAGCCGGATTCAAATTCAGCCTCTGTCACTTACTACCTGTATTACCTAGATTGACTCGCTTTATCTCCCTGGGCCTCAGTTTTCACATCTGTAAAAGGAGGGGGTCGTTCTAACGGCCTCTGAGGTCTCTTCCAACGCTAAATTCATGATCCAATGATAAATGGGGCCGATAGGAAGCTGCCAATATTGACATCTGGATCTGAAAAGAAGCGACCCAAATGTTTGAGAGACACCATGTGCCTAGTTGCATCACATGCAAAAAAAGGAGGTGGATGGGTTGGAGGCATGGGAGGGTGGGATGCAAGGGATGGAGGCGTGTGAGGGTGGGGTGCAAGGGATGGAGGCTGGGATGGTCAGGGGAGACAGACCACCCCCTGTCTATCCTGGGGTCTATCAGAGAGAATCAATAATATTCTTCAAGAAGAGAGCTGGTTATTGGGTGGGGCCTCTTCCTGCCTGCCTACCAGGGGCCTCTACACACCCCCCTCCTCCCGCCACCCTAAGGTCTGTGCTAATCGGTGACAACTGCTTCTGAACAGTTCGCTTGGGTAGGAGAGGCACCCCAGAAGCCAGAAGTGGAGGTCTGGACTGCTCAGCATTGGCAAATAAAAACAAACTGTCCTCCGCTGCTCGAGCAGACGGTGACAACAGGTGTGGCGGCCCACGGCACTGTCACCCCTACAAACAGCAGCTCTAGCAAGCAGCCTCATGCTCAGAGAGGTACGCCATGATCTTGGGGATGGGGGCAGGGTGGATTTCTGGAGCGATGGAGAACCCCTGAGGTCTACAGAGTTCCCAAAGAGCCTCACAGTCTGGACTGGGAGGCAGGAGACACGAGTTCTAAGCTCTCTGTCTCAGCCTTCTCATCTGTAAAATGGGGATAATAGCAATTACCTCCTAGGGTTACTGCGAGGATCAAACGAGATCGTACATGTGAAGCCCTCTTGAAAACTCAGAGTATTTTTATAAATATTAGCTAACAGAAGGACCACTGGGTCACAGGTCTAGAGGTGGAAGGGATGTCAGAGGTTCTCTAGCAGAACTTACACCTGAATAAGAATCCCCGTACAACATCCCTGGACGAGCGACCTTGAGGTCTTTGCTTGAACACTTCTAGTGACAAAGAGCTCACTACCTGTTGAGGCAGCCAGCCCATTCTACTTTGGGATAGTTCTGATGTTCTTCCTGACATTCGGATTAAATTGACCTCTCTCCAGCTCTTGATTCTGCCTTTTGTGGCTCGGCAGGACAAATCGAATCCCTCTTCCATGTGACAACAAGATAAATACCTGAAATTAACTTAATTGTGCCCTCCCTAAATCTTCTCTCTTCTCCTGGCTAACAATCCCCAGACAATTCCTTCCTCTGAGCCCCATGTGACCCGGACCCCGAGCTCTTTCCCACGCAGACAGCCCCACTCTGGACTTCATCCAGTTCACCTCTCTTCTTTCTAGAAAGCGGCACACAGATCTGAAAATAACACCCCAAATACCTTTTTACAGAGGAAGAAACTGAGGCAGAGTTTAAGTGACTTTTCCTAAGTAACAAAGCGGGGAGTCACAGAATCACCAAATTTGAGAGTTGGAAGGGACCTCAACTAGAATTAGAACGACCCACAGAGGGCCTGGACCGTGGGTCAGATGACTTCCGCTACAAATACAGGTCAGCTCCTTCTCGAGGAGCCTGGGGGCACTGAGGGGTTCAGTGATTTGCCCAGGGTCACTTGGTCCAGATCAACCAGGATGAGTCAGAGGTGAGTCTAGAGCCCAGGTCTTTCTGTTTCTAAGACATGCTACAACAAGAACATCAAACTCAAATAGAAATTGATCCCTTTGGGTTATATATTGACTTAGAAAACCACAAATTAACATTATCTATGTGGTATTGTATTTTTAGTCATTTTTGTTAACCATTTCCCAGCTACATTGCATGCCCTTGGACACCTCTGGGCTAGAGTATCTCCAGAGAGAGACAAGAATGAGAAGAAGCTGGGTCTGTTTATCAGGGAGGAGAAAAGATGAGGGGAAGACAGGATGACGGATACTTGAAAGGCCATCACGGAGGAGAAAGAGAGACTCTTTTGTGCTGCTCCAGAGAGTGGTGTGGGGACCAGGGGGAGGGAGTCACTGGGGTCAAATGAGGGGAGAAGAGCTTAACAGCCAGGCTTGTCCAGAAACAGACTGGGTAGCTTGTGAGGGAGTAAGCTCCCTGTCCGAGGAAGTATTCAAGCAGAGGCTAGGGGCCCCCTGCCAAGGGTGTTGTAGGGGGACTCCAGCTTCTGCTGTGGGATGTCCAAGCTGATCTCTGGGTCCTTTCAAAGCAGGACAATAAGATCCTAGATCGAGAGTTGGAGGGGACCTCAGAGGACATCTGGCCTACCTGCCTCATCTATAAAGAAGGAAACGGAGGCCCGGAGAACTGAAGTGACTTACGCTGGCTCATGCTGGTAACGGGAATCCGAGGGAGGATTTGAACCCGGGGCCCTTGCCTCTACAGCGGGAGCTTGTGCCATCAGTTCTGGGATTTCCTGCACATTTCCTCCACCCCCAGCTCAGAGCCCCTGCTCCTCCTAGGGGGCTCCCTGCCCTCCACCCCGACCCGCCCGGCCCTGCCTTCCTACCTCTTCTCCTCTTCCAGCTGGTTCAGTAATTCCACCTTCTCCTTCTGCACACTCTCCACCAGTGCTCGCGCCCGCTGGAGGCTGGATTCCGCTTCTGAAACATACTGAGTCCCAAGGGAGGCCCAAGACAGGGTCAGCCTCTTCCCACTAAACCAAGCCCATGTTCTTAGGATGGGGACCTTAGGGGAAGTGTGGGAAGAGAGGGGAGAGTCTGGGGAAATCGGCCATGAGATCCCCAAACCTTTACTCTCCCAGGGCCTTCACCAGCAAGGGCTTAGAGACAGACAGCAAATGTGAGGGGGGGTGGGGGCGGGGGGCTGGGGAGGCCCTACGCATTGGTGAAATGAGCAGCTGCCTGTACGATGCAAGCTGACAGATTCCATGAAGCTTTTATCCCTCCTCCCCACCACCTTCCCCCCACTCTCCGGAGAAAAAATCTATCTGCCTCCTATCATGCCTGCAATTTCCACAACTAGAGAATAATTTCTTTGGCTTAATGTACTTTGGGTTTTGAGAAGGAACATGTGTTTTGGGGGAATGGTTGGGGCTGGACCTCCGAACACAATGGTATCCACTGGGTGATCCATAGGATGTTTGAGCTGGGCTGGGTGGGGCAGGGCGGGGTGACCTGGGAGGTCCCAATCTTTGCATTTTGCAGATGGAGGAACTGAGAGATCCCCATAATTACAGAGCAAGTCAGTGACAGGGCCAGGATTGGACCCACAACTCCTGATTCCTGGTCCATGATACTTATTATACGGTTTCCTATCTTAGAAGGGAGAGAATTGGACATGGAAATGACAGGACATGAGTCAGGAATGGGGGTTCAGGAAGGGGGTGGGAGCACAGCCCCAAATCAAGAACAAGGAAGAGGCTTTGGCTTAGAGTTCATCCTAAGGGGAGCCGTACTCGCCCTCGCCTCTCTCTAAGTGTTTGGGGATGGAAGGATCACAGATGCAGAGGTGGAAGGGGCCGTGGACACCACCAACCCCAGCCCCTGAGTGGGCATGGAAGAGTAGGAGGAGGAAGAGACAGAGATCAGGGACCTGGCAGAGCGCAGGGAGCCAAGGAATGGGGAAAACAGGAGACCGGGAGTCAGGAGCCCTGAATCTACCCATCCCACACCTTCTGGCATGGCCTCAGAAGAACTTAACCACCTCCCTGCTGCCCCCAAAAGTCAGTCACCCTGAACTTGACCCTGAGGTGTCAGCAGCTGCCGTCACCTGACAAACATTGGCTCCAGGAACAAAAAAGAAAAGATTTAGGGGTGGGGAGTGAAGGGGTGTATCCACATCCATGATGTGCTGCGTGTGTAATACACATGTGTAGTCCATGTATATTACATGTTGTGAATGTGTGCATATATGTATTTCTCCCATCTATATCTCCATCTGTATCTTCATCTATATCATCTGTATTTATACCCACAGCCATATCTACCTATATCATTTATATATATATATCCACATCTAGATAATATGATCCATAGCTATAGCTATATCTACCTATACCTATATCTCTTTATATACACAAATATGTGTATATATGAATATTTATTTAGGGTGGGTATGTATGTATATATGTACACATATACTTGCATGCAGAATACACATATGCATGTATACAAGCATATGTGTATATA